CCACGACAAGGCAGTGATCCATGAAGGGGAGGCGGGACACTAGAGGCAACCAGAAAGAACTAAAGATCATAATTAAAGGAAAACAGACCCACTAATGCAGAATGGAGAAAAATATTTTAACTTTGGAAGAATTTAAGGATATTTGGGAACAATCACTCAGAAATGTCTCTTAAGATTGCCTGCTACCATAAAAATGGGTTTAAAACAGGAGACAGAAGAGGATACAACTGAGAATTTGGCTGTCTTGGATTTGGATTTAAAAATGACAAATTTCAAGAATGATATGGAAAGAGATGTTATGTTGGATTTACAAATGAAACCAGCTGATGTCTTAATAACCAAAAGGGACACACAAATAATAAATCAGAATTGGGATTTGGACAACTTTCTTCTCTTGGACTTACAAAAGAGACATGTTACACTTATGAAGGAGTTCCTAAGAAAAGACAAAGAGAAAAGAAAATGAAAAGAAATCAGCTTTTGGGACACTATTTAAAGGGAACACCAGATTTTTAAAAGCAAAAAGAAGGAATATAAAGTTGGCTTATTTGATCAAGATTAAAATACATACGATGTTCTTTCCAATAGCCCTTAATGGTTTTTTCTCGACCAGGACTGAATGACAAGGCTTTAAGGATTTGTTACAGATAAGATATGGGAAGAAGGTATTTTTTGTTGTTGTTACATTTTGAGAGAAAGTGATAAGCTATAGTGTTAAAAGTAAAGTAAAGGAATACAAAGTTGGCTTATTTGATTAAGAGTGGGTTTATCCGATCAAGGTTAAAATATATATGCTGTTGTTTCTGGTGGACTTTTTTTTTTTTTTTTTACTAAGACTGAATGATGAAGCTTTAATGATTTGTTTATAGATAAGAGATGGGAAGAAGAGGTTTTTGGTGTTTTTGTTTTGCTGTATTATTACAGAAAGTGATCAGTTAATGTGTTAAAAGTAAAGGAATATAAAACTGATTTATTTGATTAAGGTTAAAATATAGGTGTTATTTTTTGATAACTCTTAATGGACTGTTGCTGATTAGAACTTTAGTTATAAAAGTTTTATAATATAAATTATAAAAGTCTTTATAATTTGTTTATTGATAAAAGATGAGATATAAGAAGAAGAGATCTTTTGTTGAAATATCAGAGAAGGTGATAAGTTACTGAAGTTATTTGTACAGGTAGTCCCCAGTTTAAGAACAAGTTCTGTTCTCAAGGTCTGTCCTTAAGTCCAATTTGTATTTAAGCCAGAACAGTATTATTGTATAATACTATATAAGTAGTATTGTGTAATGGACTTGAACCATTGTGTATTTAACTCAAATGTTGCTACAATAAGCTCTGTTCTTAACTATGGGTCATCTGTAACCAGGATATTCTTAACCCAGGGACTACCTGTACTTCTCTTGATAGAGGGGGAAGTTATTTCTTCTTTTTTTTACATATCTTTTTTCTTTTTTTTTTCTCTCTGCATTTTTAATTATATTTTATATTTCTTAGTTTGTATTAGTTTTTTATCTTCATATTTTTAAACTTCAATAAAATAATTATATTAAAAAAACAAAATAGAACAATATTCCAGCCCAGGATGGTTGTTCTGATAGGATTGGGATTGGCAAACATTTTTTGTTATGGTAGAGTGGCCTAGATCCAGACTTAAAAAATAGATCACACATCAGGAAAGAAACAGAAGTTCTATTCATTTGCATCAAGTAATATGCTCTGCAGTCCCAAAAGGATGATCTGTCAGTCATAATGCCTTACACAGGAACAATGGATAAAGATTACAGTGCAGTCTCCCAATCTTCCAGTGATGCCATCACCAATTTTTTTTGGGGGTGGGCAGATGAGGGATGGCAGCAAAAGACCAATTTTGAGGGCTGATAGTGGCCCAATAAACAAAGTTTTCAGGCCTCTGGAGATATTATATCATGAATGGTAGAAATGAGTGCAGGAGGCACCCCAGCAGCCTGCTGCTCCTATCTCTACCTTCAGTTTTGAGAAAACAGAAGTTATGAAAATCATACTAAAATTTGATTATTTTGTCACTGAATTTTGGCAGCCTGATCTCATGATGCTGGATATGACTGGCCACCACAGCTTTACAGAATGTACACCAATAAAAATAAAATAATACAAGTTTACTGACTTTTTATCCCTGCATGTATCTTCAAACTTTCTTAGAAAACTGCTTTATCAGAAATGGAAATACAATTTAAAGCTCTCTCACCTCAGACATTTTTGAGCTGGTACATTCTCCATTGCTCTAGCACAATTGGCACCAACTACTTTTTTTTCTTCTGACAGGAGGTCACGGAATGATTTTGGCAAAGCAGAATGCAATGAGGAAGCCCTGAAGTAAAAGGAACGAAATTTTGCTAAGCTACATTTCCAGATAACCCTAGTGCAATTCTTTCACTGACTAACCTATCTTTTCTACTGGTGAAATGAAGCACTTGGAAGCATGAATCTTCACGACTGCTGTCCTAGAACATTACATTTCTGTATCTTCCACTTATCTTGTTCAATCAGTACAAAGCTTTTAGTAGAAACTATGAAGTCATTAAATTAAAGGTAGGCAATGCCTTTTTTTGTGCCCGCCCCCCCCCAGGGCCCCTCTAACACAACTGCTGAAAATCAGAAATTAACACCATCCACAGAAGGATGTATCAGTAGTCTGTACTGGATGATACATCTATCAGTAATCTGACTGAACATAATACACCAATAAAAATAAAATAATACAAGTTTACTGTATTGTATTGCTGGGTAAATTCATAGTTCAACTACACTAACATAATATGACCAAAAAGAAAAATATGATGTAAGGCACACACAGAGCCATTAACAGTGACTAGTCTCCAACTCTAAACTGACTTTCCTTCTTGAAGCATGGGCTGAAAGTGGCTGGGGAAGATAAATAGGGTTTATTTTAACAGCATTATTTGAATAATTCTATTACCTTAAAACAGAGGCAGGAGCAAATATATATGAAGGCCTTATGCAGTTTTCCTTCCTACTGTTCTAACATAAAAACCATCACACTTTTTTTTTTCTGTTAGGTACAAAAAGCTCTCATTTTCAACAAGGTATTTCTCTTTTCAGGCTTTTGCAGTAATTGGGATATTGCGATCTACACATCTATTAAATTTCAACATTCTAGATGAAGAAACATGCTTACAACATTGATGTACCATGAGTATTGCAAGCCTATTCATGGCATGAGTTAGGCAAAACATGAGATTTTTCAGTTAAAGCCACCACAGGTCTTAAACATAACATGAGAAATAAATAATACTCAGAGATGAGAACCTGCTGAACCTGTTAACTGAAAAACTGACCATCTGGTACTTAGGAAAATAACAGCATAGGGTATCCTGCCAGAAGAAAGGAGAAGTCGTATCTCCCCCAGATAAATTGTTATGTTTTTTCACCAGAGATGTATATGCACGCACACACATATTTGGAAATTATATTTAAATCCATTTCCAAAAGGAAAGATTAGTCTTTGCTCTTTTAGTCTTCCTCCACATTTCATTCTAAAAACAATCTCCACATATTTTACCTAATTAATCTTCAAAGAACAATATGTATCCTTGATTCCACAAAACTGTGAAGCTGGACATTATTTTTGGCAAGAAAAATGCAAGTATGGTTTAAGGTATCCTGAATCTCCATGTCAACCAAAAAAGTTCCAGAAGGTCCCACACCCATCTGGCATATTTTCTTGCCAGAAGACCTGCTGAATTTCCAAGACAAGTATCTTGTTTCGCTGCAAAACAACGCTTCAAGAGAATGCCACATACTGCAAGCACAGAAACTTCAATTTGATGCCAAATGCATGTTCATTTTTAAAAATTAGAGTTATACCAGAGCGACAGAACTCAACATGTTAAGTACACCCCCTTTTTTCTCACTATTAACTAAGCATTCAGGAATATTCAGTGAATATTTTGTTTACTAATACAAAAACGTAATCAAGCTAAGCATAATAAGGTATTTATTTTATATGGAAACTTTAAAAGACTAAAATAAATTCAATTACTCAAGGAACCAATACTGTGTGCACAAATGAGTCTATAAATCCTTTAATTAGAGATTTTGTATTTCCTTGCACTAAGTCACGCTCTTGGTCCAACCACCCAGTATTTCCACAGACCACGACCAGCAGTGACTCTTCATGGTCTCAAGCAGGTTCTCTTCCTACTTTGAGATGCCAGGGCTGAATTCAAAATTTGCATTCAAATCACAAACTCCAGCACTGAATTACTGTCCTTCCCACAGATTATGAAACAGTGAGTCTGAAGCAAAACTGAAATGACCCCAATATGCAGTAACCTAAAGAAATAACAAGGTACATACCACACAGTCGCTGGTTTTGTAGTTTTGGGAGCTGTAGATAGCACTACTGCATCAGGCACAACCTCTGGGTTATTATCCTTAGCAGCCAGAGCAATCAGTTTCCTTTGCTTCTGAGAAAGTTTATTTCCATGAGAAGTGGCTCTACTAAAATTAGACACAGAAATGTAAAAGTACTTTACTAAAGCTTATCAAACAGAGTGTAACGAAAGCATATCAATCACAGAACTGCTGGATTATATGTCCTGAATTTACAAAATTATCTGCCATTATCTAAATCCATAATTTGAATAATAACAGCAGTTTTAAAAAGAAATATTCCTAATCTGTGATTATGTATTCATGTACATAATGAACCATGTTTGCAGGGCAACATGGGTACTGCACCACTAATACCAATGTTTAATCCAAAGCCGAAACTTCAAAAATGTAGCTTCTAACAAAGTTTTAAAAAAAGAGATACACAACAAATTAGGACTGTAATGCTCATCAGTCAAGTTGATTGTATTATATCTTTTTTACCAACCCTGAATTTATCTTTGGCACACTCCCACATTTCTGCAGATTTTCTTCAGTTTCCATAATAGTTCTTAAATCAACAGCAGGAGGACTGGCAGGACTGAATTAAAAAAAAAAAAATTACAAGTTGTTACTTTTCAAGATATCCATTTTTACTTACATTCCAGTTGCCAAACACCATTGTAGCCTTCTATATGTAACCGGATGTATAATTTATGTCTACTTCCTCAATTATGGCAAACCTCAAATAGAATGTTTTCAGATGAACATTTTATATATATTTTTCAGGAAACATACACACCAAGGATATTTTTAGGTCCATTGACAATGCTGAGTAAAATATTTAACACAGAATTCTAGGTAAGGTGTATGGTTATTTTTCTTTTAAAGCCTATTATGAATTAGGTTATCACAGATGGAAAATTTACACTGCAACCAAGCATAGCTAGGCTTGCAAGAGGGCCCACCAAGAGGCAGAAATTAGCAGCCTAAGCAGAAATACATTACTTTTTTGAGCAGAATGACTACAAAGTAGTCAGGTGATTTGATTCTGCAAAAACCACTTGCATGCAGGCCCAGGTTTTAATGGAGAGGGAAGCTCACATTCCAGACAGAGGAACAATCTTGCAGTTTGACAAAGGGAGAAACACAGAGAAAATGCATACCTAAAAGAGCTGGCAACCCAGTTGGATGAACTCACATAGGTGTTTTTGTTACTAGGAATACTCTGCGGAAGAGAACTTTTCTGCACTGATGATCCACGACAGATTTTTACTTCTTTGTTGGCATGAGAAACAAATGTATCTGAAATACCCATGTTCTCTTTCACCTGTAGTCAAAACATACTAGCATTACGTTGTTGTAGAAAAGGAACCTTATGGACTTTACAGAAAATAGGGTTCAATCTATTTTGGCTGAAGTTTACAAAAGCAATGACTCCCTCTCTTTTATCTCATTTTAAAAGCTAGTTCTCATGTCACACTGCAGTGCCTTTAACACACTTCATCTTGGGAAATATTTGGGGGTTGACATCTAAAATCCTACTGACTTTTCTGCCACTTTGGATTATACTATCAATTTATTTTTATTTATCTATTTAAATTATTTATATGGCTGCCCATCTGAACAGTGACACTGGGCAGCATGCCAGGATTAAAGCATGAACCACAGCAATTTAATGACTTCATTATCCAAGAAGTGTAATCTTGGTTGCAGTTCTCTTATAAGCACCCTGAGCTACAACAACATGCTATATTCTTTTAAGAAGGATACACTCACTATAACTCCTTCAAATTAATTAACATTAGACTCTGTACTCAAATAAGTACAGTTTATATTCAGCCTTCCTACCACTCCCATCATCCCTAAACAAGATGGCTGGAGTAAATGGAAGTTGTACTCCAAAATTACTGAAGGGCAGTTTCTCAGAGAAAGCTGTCACAATTTATATTAAAATTATTCTGCACTGAACGAAACATACATTTTTATGTAGTATAATATTTGGTAGAGGACAAAGCCACAGCCTATTGCAGAGAAATAACTTCTCCAGAACTCAGGAAACAGCCCCACTTAAATGAAATACACATAAACCACCAAGGTCCAATCAACTGACATGGCACCTTAGATAAGAGAGGTTTTCCCCTTAGTCATTTAACCATTAGGCATGGTTAATCTGTCTCTAATTTTTTTTTTAAATTATGCCATACTTAATGAATGAGTATTAAGACAAAAACAATGTGCATACTCTAAGCTCAACTTTATCTGTATGGAGTCCTGCTGTGAAATCAGGAGACTGCAAATCTCTGGGACTGTTCACTCCCACAGAGCTGCCTTCGGAATCAGACGTCAGCATTTCAGGGAGGGATTCAACAGAATTAGCTTTATCCAGTTTCAATATTCCTGCATGTACTGGGGAAAAAATACACAATTATCTTGGGGCAAATCAGAAATGCCCAAGGAAGCAAAACTACCGATAGTGCATTCTGGCACCTGGGGAACGGATTGCTATCCTGTAGCACAGTGTTTCTCAATCTCAGTGACTTTTAAGATGTGTGGACTTCAATTCCCAGAATTCCCCTGCCAGCTGGGGGGTTGAAATCCATACATCTTCAAGTCACTGAGATTGAGAAAGACTGCTCTAGCAAATGGACTGCCTGCTTGAGTTCACAGAGAAAATGTTTACCCGATCCTTGCCCCACATCCTCTATTTCAAGCATGCAGCCTTCACCGTCTGCTCTTTTATGCACAACTCTCAACACTCCCATAGCTACACATGTGTAACTTCTGGGGAATGAAGCGGCAAGAGAGACAATTATCCCGCGAGGCTCCTAGAAAGCCACTGAAATTCTTACAGAATTAAAGCTATCAGAGGATCTGGAATTGTGGTTAATGTGATGTGCAGAATTGTTTTTCTCCTTTGCTGCTGAGCTGGAGTTGAAGAATGTATTGCCTCTTAAGTACAAACTATGCCATTTCAGTCATTTTGGGGAACATTCTGAAATAGCATTGCTTCAAGCATGGAATGCTTTCAGAGTGATTGAAAGACCTGTTTACACTTGAAACAAGATCTTTTCAATTCAAGATTGCACACCTCAGTGATTTGTATTATAGTAAACTGCTTGCATGGAAAAAGCAGATTTATATATTTTCTTCTTAACAGAATACATATATCATTTGGAAAATATAACAACAATCTTCCTTTTAATTTTCCCTTAGTAATAAGAGGTTATATGTTGGTTAGTAGGGCTACAACCCCTTTAACTTTCAATTAGGTATGTAGCAAAAAATAGCTCAGTATCATTCTTTATGTAGTCACGAACTCCAATTTTTGTACATATCAAAATAGCATTAATTTCACACAATTTGAAAATGTTACTTTGAAATGTTACTTTAAAGCTACAACACAAAAGCATGCCAAATACACACTTCTTGTTACAGGGAATTCTAAAATGCTAACTTATTTAATCCAATGTAAACTAATTCTATGTGAGTGATACAGGTACAGATGCTCTCTCTGAAATGCTATTCCAGCCATTTTAATTAAGTAATCACCATTTAAGTTCACATATACTTTATAACCCAAGAAAGTATTAATTCTGCAAAAGACACTTTCTTAAAATATAAGGGTAGATTATACTCAGAAAAAGTTTTTTTTTTTTTAACTCTTTACTGTTTTCAACAAGGGATAGTATGCTTAAGCTTGATGTAGCTTGATGTTACCATTAAGATCAATGAGGCTTGAAAGTATGACTTCAAGCTGGTTCATGGCTTAAAATTGAATGAAGTTGAACCTCAAATACTGCAATATCCCGGGGCTCAATTTTATATTCACATTTCTTGGGCTCTATGTGTTAATCAGAAGGCAAATGCATACATATATCAGTAGCAGTCTTGTCTTCATAACCAGGGTATGTATTCAGACTGAAAATAAACCAATGACCTGCCACATCTAAACATTAAGATGAACAATGTGTATTCATATGCAACATAGTTACTAAACCACATCATGCAGTCCTTGTGTGTTTGGGTATTTATATTTTCATTTTTCAGATGAAGATGTCGTTCTGATTCTCTCTCTTTACTGAGATATCTGCAGACTGCAGCCATCTCCCCACACTGTGATCAACTTTACAGAGAAGAAACCTTAATGTTTGTATTATACAACACACTGCAGTATTTTTCATTTTATAATATCTATTTATGTGATTCCCTCATGGACTAGTAACAGTACATTCCTGTCCGTAACATTACAAGAAAAAACACACTGCAGTAGCTGGATGTGTATTAACTTGCTTCAGCAAAAAACAATTTGCAAATTTCACCTCCTTGAGTGAAAGGAAGGAACAAGATTGTGTAAGGCATTAGAAAAGGTGTTAGCATGAAACCTGCTAACCTTCAAATAATTAAACCAAGGGCATCTTTTTCTGCTGCTCCAGTTCTCTGGAATCACCAGCAAAGTAAAGTGGCTATGCACACACGCATATGCAGAGCCAGCATTCAAGGCAGCTGCACAGGACTTGAAAAAGACATCGTTCCTTAACGATTCAAAGAGAGTTGCTGCATTCGTATTGTGCATCGTGAAACATCTCTTTCAAACCCTTTGTACAGTCAGCCTTAGCACACAATACTTTTCATATATAAAGTGACTGGACCTTGGGACTCATCACCTCATAAGTTAATTCTGGCACTACAGAAAAACCAGCCATTACAAGCCATGTTTTAAAGTTCAGACATTATATTTTTGCCATTATGCAGAAGTTACCTAAAAATAATAGTTAGAAAGAATAGATCAGCCCTGTTTTTAGCCACTCACCTGTAGTTGGTGGATTCTGGATAATATCTGACAGGTTATACCCTCCTGAACTGTCTGACCGTCTTCGAGGCTTCTTTTTAGCCTTTGCTTTAACTTTCTTGAGAAGCGCTTCTCTAGTTTAAGAAAAACAAAACAGATATTTGCTTCACTGC